AGCTGACCATGGACAATGCGTTCTAGAACCTTAGAAAGGAAAGGGAGGATAGATATTGGACGGTAGTGAGCTGACAGAGTAGGATTAGCGATTTTAGGGATTGGTAGGATATGAGCTAGATGCCAACTAATGGGAAATATACCTGAGTCTAAGGAGAAATTAAATAGGTGGCATAAAACAGGAAGAACGGTATCAAAAGAAAAGAGTATCATTTTACGACTGATACCGTCACATCCAGTGGCATCCGATTGAATACCAAGAATACTCTTCCTGATATCATCAGGAGTCACTGGAGTAAAATAGAAGGGAGAAAAATTAGGCTTAGGACGTGTGGATATGGAATTCAGGGTGTGACATTTATTCGCATTGTCCATGGTAGCCGCAGTGAAGTGCTTATTCAGGGCTTCAACATCAACATTTCTTACGTCTAGTGACTGATGGCCAATACCCATCGCATTCAAGAAACGCCATACCTTGCCAGGGTTCTTGACGCTTACTGATTCGTGAATATAATTCCGTTGAGCATCTCTACAGACTTTGCTGCAATGATTACGCAGCCGTTTGTATTTCAGGAGATTGTTGTCTGTAGGACTCAGTTTATATCTCGACTTAGCAGCATTACGTCTTGCCATGATAACTTTGATATCTGGTGTTAACCATGGTGCTGGAAGATGCTTTAACTTAATCGGTCTTAATGGAGCATGAGTATCAAAAAGGTCCGTGAGTAAAGAGTTGAATAATTCAAGTTTTTCATCCATAGACGGAGCATTGAATATAACATCCCAATCAATCCGATCAAGGTCACGCAAAAAATTATTATTATCAAAGTTTTTAAAGCTTCGTCTCATGACAATGGTTGGTTTTAATTTAGGTGGACGGACTTTATATGACAAATATATAAGGTCATGGTATGAAAACGCTTCAGCGGGGTATTGGCCATACAGCATAGCATGATCAGATGAGGAAATAATTGTTAGATCTAACAGAGAAGGAGAGCAATTTGGGAAAAAGTGGGTAGGATTGGAAGGGAGTATATTTAAATTAGCGCTATTCACAATATTACGAAGGCGTTGAGCACGTGAGTCATTTTTATTCAGACACGTGTTAAAATCACCCATAATAATGGTGTGATCAACAGCAGAAACATATTTCTCAAGTAGGTGCTCAAAACATTGAAAATAATTTATATGAAGGGAAGGGCTATAAAATACCCCTAAAAGGACTTTTAACGAACCAAATAATAGTTCAAGAAAAATGTGTTCAGCAGAATCTGAGTATGGCGAGGGGGATTTATCTAAAATGGAAAAAGGAATATGACTACGAAGATAAATTGCCACACCGCCACCACCTTTACCTGTTCGGTCGTTCCGGATCAGATGGTAGCCAGGCAAACAGTACGACGTCGAGGATAAACTTGGTTTCAAAAAAGATTCAGATACAAGAATGGCATGAATATTTTTACTATCAAAGGAGGACAGGAAATCAGGGTAATGGGATGGAATACTCTGCGCATTTATATGCACTACGTTAAAGTTTCTAGAAACCCCAGAGAAAGTTGAGTCTAAAAGAGAATTTAGAGGAAGAGAAGCACTGTGAAAACTATCATCACTAGATAATACTGAGTCACTAAGATAGATACTATTATCATTTCGAGTCACTGACGCTGTGAACGTTTGAAATCATACTTTTAATGTAAATACAAGTTAATATAATATATATGTAAATAAACTAATTAAATAGAAATAAATAAATAAATAGTATAATAATACCAAAATAAATCAAAATACTAGAATATTGTGTTCTAATAAGCTACTCCTCCATCCCGCCAGCCGCTTGTGAGTAAGCAATTACAAAGATATACAATATTATATTTTTTATCATAAATATAGTAAAACAAAAAAAAAACCGGTTACAACATTAAAACAGAAAAAAAGTGACCAATAAACAAAATAAAAATACGATTCAAGTTCTAATAACATTAAAAAAAAATATACTAGTAAGTGGAGGGAAAAACATTAAAAAAAAATAAAAAATAATTAAACTAAAAAAACAAAAAAAAAACTACCTAATAAAAAATAAAAATAATAACTACATAGGCAATAGTTAGTTTTATCAATGCAGTTACTAAACGCAGATCAAACGTCAGATTGTTGACAATTGACATTATACATTCAGTCAACAACATATGATTATAATTATACCGACGTTTTACAAAATTAACACTAATTTTATCCGAAATATAATTACAATAACTAAACAAAAATAGATGGCATAAATAAATAACAAAACAATTTAATGGGGCGAAGACAAATTGTTTCTAATAAAATGAAAACTTACTTTTTAACGATTCTCTTACTTCGCATAACCTGAGTGGAGTTGGATGATTTTGAAATTGAGTCTACAGTACTGGTACCAGCAGCAGCAGCAAGTTTAGGTGCAGAGGGCATGTAATTCGGTTTGCTATTAATTGAGTTGAGCTCTGCTGTTGTGACGACACGGTGGCGCTTACCATCAGAACCCGTAACGATAACAACTCCATCCTTCGTCCAGCATTTTGAAATTCCGAACTTCTGTCTTGCAGACATAAACAGGTCATGCCTTTCCTTGGTAAGGAACTCAGACAGAGTCACGCCAGTGCTTTTAAGGGACGTTTTTGAATACCAGATCTTGTTTCGAAGCACTACATCATGAAATTTTACAAGGATAGGTCGAGGCTTATCCCTAGAGGAATGACCCAATCGCTGACATCGACTGAGCTTCTCTATGGTAAATTCTGGTACCTTAAGATGGCCTGATATAACACCTGACACTATGACTGGCAAATCTTCTTTTTTGTCTTCAGGAACACCATGGAATAGTAGCATCTTCCTTCTACTTCGCATTTCCAGCTGATTGTACTGCTTCGATAATATTTCCACTTGCATCTGAAGGCCTTCTAATGCAGATAAAACAAAGACTCTGAAGGTGTTAAATTGAGCCGCAATGTTGGAGTTTGGACTTGTGGCTGGGATGGAACCCTGAAGAGATTTTTGAAATTCAGCCATCCGTGTGTTGAAGTGTTCAGTTAGGTCCTCAATTGAGTGCTTAATGGATTCCATAGTGAAGTTATTATTCTTAAATCTCAACCTGTTTAATGTTCTTGTTTTTTGTTGATTATATTGGTGTTATGGAGATTAGCTGGCAGGTAGGAAACACATTTAGCACATTTCTATTTGTATAATTATTATCTTGTAATTTATATAATTAAAATTCTCAAGAGCTCATATAAAAACGTGTTGTCTTTTTTTTTGTCACCTACCCGAAAAAAAATAGGTACTTAATTTTTGACCGAATTTCCGTATAAATAAATAAAGTGTGGACACGTTCCAAGTGTGGACGCGTGCCCGCCGCACGCGTGTTTGTGAGTGTATACCTAATCTGTAGGGTGTTCACACGATGCGTAATTAATTACATAACTTTTGGTTAACTTTACTTAGAAGTTTATTAATATTTATGTTATATTAATTTTTATTTTGTCATATGATCGTCAAATATCACGTCCTCAAGTATCGATAGTAATTCACCAGTCACCCTGTATATTAATATCTAATCGGAATCGGCTCCAACGATTTTCATGAAATTTATTATACAGGAGGTTTCGGGGCGATTAATCGATCTAGCTGGAAATTATTTTTGAAAATGTTATTTTATTTAAAAAAAGAACAAAAAGGGGTCCTTTAAAATATGACTCTTCCTGACATCTATTTGCGAATAGTAATACTACTTTTTGCTAATAGCTTTAACGACACTAAAAAATAATTGTTGATTTATATTGTTTTGTCTTCTTAACGTGTTCACTTGAAAATGCCTAAACGAAATTAAAAAAAAAACACAAAAACACAATATAAATACTAATTATTCCTAAATACCAAGCAAAGCTCGGTAACTAGGTCATAATGAGTAAAGTAAAAGAGAAAATAACACCTTCACACTGCAACCTACTCAGAGCGTAGTAATTACTTTTGCGTCTGCTACGTTATTGCCGGACTATGTTCACATTAAGATGTGGCGCCTGCCCGTCTCCACATATGTCCCACCTATAAAACAGTGTTTTAAATGTTTACGCTATTATCATCTGGCTAGGTTTTGTAAAAATTCACCGCGATGCTCCATATGCACTGAGGGGCATTCTTTCAAAGAATGCAAGGTTAACAATGAAAAAGCTAAGTGCATTAATTGTAATGACAATCACATCGCCATCTCTAGCCAGTCACCTTTAAGGCAAAAGAAAATCGCAAACAGTAAACCCAAGTCATATGCTGACACGTTAAAAGATTCATTAAATTTTCCCTCCCTTATTAAAAAATTAAATACTCAAGAAGTAATCCAAGCGATACTTTTTAACTCCGAAGCAATGACTCTACTAACAGAATCTATTGTAAAAGTTATAACTATAAATAAAACTCAAAATATCAGTATTAGTTCAAAATTTATTAGCTCAGCTATTAAAGAAACCATCAAGGATAAAAACAGCAAATTGTCACATTCAACCACCATATCTTAATTATTGTACAGTGGAACACTCAATGTATGTTAAGTAATAGACTGATTTTCAACATTTATTATACAGTAAAATCTCTATAACTCGAACCTCGTTAATTCGAAATCCTCAGTAAGTCGAAAAAAAATGCCTTTCCCTTCCGCTGAACTCCTAAATACGCGGTATCTCGAATTATTTAGACTTTGTAACTCGAACAAAATGTTATTTCCCTACGAGGTATTTATAAGACATTTATACTGAATAACTCGAATTTCAAAAAGGAGACTCAATAAGTCGTAGTTAGTTAAGTAAAACAATGACGGTTAACTTACGTTAATGACGGTCTTTCCCCGAAGTCATATCAATAAAATCCAAAAGTTGTAAGTTCGGGGTTTATAATCTATTGTTTATGCCTTGTACACGTGCAGTAAATGACTGCATTCATTAGCCAGTACTCATTTGGCTGTTAACTAGCAACAACATGAATACCAAAAGGAAACTGAAGACTTTAACTCTACGTGAAAAATTCAACGTTATCAATGCGGTAAAAAGTGGTACGAAGAAAAAAGATGTGGCAGCTCATTATGGACTACCAGCCAGCACTTTGTCTACAATAATCAAGAATGAAGCCGAAATACTGCAAAGATACGAATCGAGTAGCAATTTGTCTTGCAAAAGACGACGTTTGGCGGAGTTTCCTGATTTAGAGGAATGCTTACTTACCTGGTTCAAACAGTGTCGGGACAAAAACATAAGCGTATCTGGGCCTATCTTACGCGAAAAAGCCGAAGAATTTTCGAAGTCACTGGGACACAGTTCGTTTCGTGCCAGCAATGGTTGGTTGGTGAATTTTAAGAAGCGTCATGAACTTGTTTTTAGGAAAGTTTGCGGCGAAAGTGCAAGTGTCAATAAAGAGGTATGTGATGAATGGATAAATGAGTTGCAGAGTTTATTGAAGGATTATGAACCAAAAGACGTCTTTAATGCCGACGAGACTGGCCTTTTTTTCAAGTGCTTACCTGACAAAACACTTAATTTTAAAAATGAAAAATGTCATGGCGGTAAGCACAGCAAAGAGCGATTTACAATATTGCTAGCAACAAACATGACAGGCTCTGAAAAACTAAAACCATTAGTTATAGGAAAGGCTAAAAAACCTCGTTGTTTCTCTGGTTTTAAAACTATACCACTAGACTACGATGCTAACAAGAAAGCATGGATGACAGCCGAAATATTTAAAGGATGGCTCATTAAAGTCGATAAGAAAATGATTATGGAGAAACGAAAAATATTGCTTTTGATTGACAATTGTACAGCTCACAACATAATTCCGCCATTGAAAGCAGTGAATGTTAAATTTTTTCCACCAAATACGACATCTAAGTTACAGCCCTTAGATCAAGGAATAATAAAAAAATTTAAATCTTTTTATAGAAAGGAAGTTGTAAGGAAACTAATAACTGATATGGAACAAGAGTCTGCTTCATCTATTAATGTATTGCACGCAATTAGGATGACAGACAAGGCTTGGAGAAGTGTATCGATGACTACAATAGCCAATTGCTTTAAAAGCTGTGGATTTTCGAGGCCACAAGAAGAAGCTTCAGAAGATCCTCAAGAGGCTCAAGAGCCGGACATGAATGTAGAACCCGATTGGAATAGGCTTCAGAACATAGAAGTTCAATTTGAAGACTATGTAACATGTGATGAAGGGCTAGCTACTACTGGAACGCTAACTGATGCTGAAATCATTGACGTAGTTAATCAGCATACAGATGATGATAATGTTGATGAAAATGACGTCGAAAATACTGATCCAGCAGATTTTGAACCAGTAGTATCAAACAAGGAAGCCAGAGCAGCAATTAATACACTACGAACTTACATTGAAAGATGTGACGATATCGAAGATCGTGTTTTCAGTTCATTGTTTGAACTTGAAAAAATAATTGATAAAAAATCTGCAAATTGCTTAAATCAAAAAAAGATAACCGATTTTTTTTAAATGTTTGTCTCAGTAATATGTAATTTGCATTATTAAATAAATACATATATAATATACCATAAAACTTAAATCGAATCGTTTTTAACTTTGACCCTACAAATACCTTTCTAAGTCGAAATTTTAGCAGTTCAATCCTTTGTATCTCGAAATTCTTTTTAAGTCGAAAACTCACTAACTCGAATTTTTTAGCATTTCCCTTGACATTCGAGTTATCGAGATTCCACTGTACCAAAATAATATACATGTTGCTCTTATTTCAGAAATCAAGCCTAGCATTCAATTCAATTTAATTTACTATTATTAGGCATGACTGCAGTAATGATCATAATGCCGTAGCAATATTAATTAAAAATGGTATACATTTCTCTAAACTATATACTTTTTATGATGATTCATTACAAAATGTAGTAATTGTTATTAAACTGGTTCTTTGGTTAGTTTTTACAGTCCTGGTAATAGTTTTCCTTGTTTTGAAAAGGCGAAGTTCGATCGTTTATTGTACATTATTACAAAACCGTTGATAATTGCAGGCGATTTAACGCCCATCATACTTTTTGGGGTTGTAGTCGCATAGATTCTTGGGGCACAGCTATAATGGATTCCATGGATGACAATGACTTAATACTTTTAAATAATGCTCACCCAACAACCATAGGCTCTCATATTTGGAAACCAAACAGTCTAAATTTGACTATGGTGTCTTTATTTCTTTCTTGTGACGTGCAAATTCATCAGGACTAAAGGGTTGTCATCTGCCAAGTATCAGAAAATTTACCCTCGTAAGAGACCAACATGAATCCTCTATTTCCTTGAACAACATTCCTTTTCACAGCAATCTGAAATTAGTAAATTGGGATGGTTATGAACAAATTGTTAATAAAATGTTCTTGACCTTTAAAGTTGACAAAAGGGATCTGCTTGACTCATATAGAAAGTTTTCTTCAATTATTCTATTGGCAATCGAATTTTCCGGGCCCAGCTTAAACCATAACACAACTGATAGTAATAATAACCGTGGTAGAAAGAGGTGTCAAGTACATTGGTGGAATGATAAATGTTCAAAAGTAGTAGAAGACTGCAAGAAAGCATACATTAATTTCAAAACTAGTCTTAATAGTAAAAATTACATTAATTTCAAAGCGCACAAGTCTTTAAAACACATCAATAAGTGGCGGCATTTGGACTAAAATGAGAAAATTCAAAAACAGCTTTCTGACATCTAATTTATTTTCTGACCTCAATTCGGTTCAAACATTTTTATATAACTATACACCTGATACTGTTTCACAACAGATAAGTATGTATAGATAATGTTCTGGGAGTAAATAGTGATAATTCATACATGATTGGTTGTTTTACTTTGCAGAAGTTAAAATCTGTGTTAGCCTCTAGAAAAGATTCCTCATATGGTCTGGATTGGCTTTCCTATAGAATGTTTAAACTTTTGAATGTTCAAAATCTATCTATTTTCTTAAGTTTGTAAAATAATCTATGGTTGTCTTCTATTATCCCAGAGGATTGGAAAATTGACTGTTTGGTACCAATATTAAAACCTGGCTAACACTTTAATTTGGCTGATTCTTATCGTCCCAGTACACTTAGTTCATGAGTTGGAAAAATTTTAAAATAATTAATAAAACAGATATTAATTTTTCACATAAAAAGTAACAATATTTTACCTTACAATCAGTTTGGCTTTTGTTGTGGCCGTTCTGCTTGTGAGAGTCTACGTCATTTGTCTGGATATCCACAATGCTCTTTCCGAGAACAGAGCACTAGTTGGAGTTCTTCTTGACATTATAGGGGCTTTCAATAATGTAGATCTGAACAAACCTGGAAAAGTTGTAAATTGGATTTTTAATTTTTTGAACTACAGAAAAGTGTTTGTTAAGGTTAACAATCAATTTTTTGGTCCAAGATATTCTTGTAGGGGCTTATCACAAGGTGGTGTATTGAGCTCACTGCTTTTTATCATATTCATACATCAGCTAAATTCAACTCTAGGGTGTGAAGTTTCTAATCTGCAGTTAGCAGATGATTCAGTTGTTTATTGCTCTGATACAATTTTTTTAGGTGTACAATCAGTCCTCCATGTTGCTCTCCAAAGACTAAAGAAATATTTTGATAGCCTTGGCCTGGAGGTCAGCAATGAAAAAAGTTTTTGTCTTTTCAAAAACTGGTATTAGAAATAGGAATGTAAATATTTTGTTCAATAATAATGTAATGTCTGTAGAGAGCTCTATGATGTTTTTGGGTGTTATTTTTACAAACAATTCTAGATGGAATAAGTATGCTGAAACTCTAGAATCTCGAGCTTTAAATGCTTTTAATGTTTTAAAATTTTCAACAGGCACATATTGGGGTGCTGATCCAAGGATTTTAGTAGCATTGGATAAATCATTCGTAGGGCCCGGACAAATATGTATTAAAAAATCTTAAATATGTACATAAAATATGGATTAAAAAATAAAAAATATGGAGTATAAAATGAAATATTTTCATAATTAAACATTGTTCTACTATAAGAAAAGGGTCACTCGTGACGTACATCGTTAAGTTACATTTAAAAACCGGTGAAAAAAAGTAGCGAAATATTTATTTCAACAAAAAATAACAGTTTTATTCAACTTCCATTACACTAGCCTTATCAAATTGGTTGCAATGCAATACACAATGACGTGCTTCTTTAAATTATCAAAATTAAAACTCTGACCATTTCGTCGAAATATAATCCTTATATCTGCTGATTGGTCTCATCTCAAGTCACATGACATGATGGGTGCATACTTAAACATGCTTAATTCAGTAATTTTCTAAGCCATGTCTACAGCCCTCAAAACAGAATTTTGTTAATTTTTTTAGCGTATTTAATCCTTTTTTTTTATCCAAAGCATTAGCGGCGGGAACGAAAATTTTATGTATATTTGTGAATATATGGATGATTGTGACATTTTCTTGTAAAATATGGACGTAACTTTGAAATATGGTAAAATAACGAAAAATATGGAGAATAAAAGTTGTTTTTTCACAGTCTAAATATGACAGTCCATGTAAAAAACACATTCTAGACCGAAAATCGCGTAAATTAAAAATATGTATTTACATAGTAATCGGGCCCCAATCATTAGTAAGGAGTCATTTTGCCATGCTTTTTTTTGTTTTGCTGGGGTAAGAAGTATAGTGGAAAAATTAGAAAAGATACAAAAGAATTGTTTGCATATTATAATGGGTGCCGTGCGAACTACTCTCATAGTGTCAATGCAAGTGGAATGTAATATACCTCCATTAGCACTTTTTTTTAAATACTTACAATCAAAAATTTTTACAAGGTTGCTCTCAATTAGTAATCTTCTTGATAACTGCGGGACACTATTAACAGGACTGCCAATATTAATTCATATTTGTTTCAAGGTTTTCCTGAAACAAATTTTTAATAAGACATAATATTTTTTCTAACATGGTATGGAATTGTTACTCTGGGTTATATGAATCAAAATTTATTCAGATTAAAAGTGTAGCCAAAAATCTTCTAAAGTATAAGGATAACATTTATAGGGAACTTGATGGGTTGCAGGGATATTATCAGATGTATACAGATGGGTCTAGGAACAATGAAGCAGTCTCTATAGCTGTCTATGATAGTCAGATCAAAAGTGGATTCGGCCATAGGCTGAATCCACTCACACGCATATACTCAAACACAGACTCATTAAAAGTGGATTATAATAATGGACAGTTTAAGTTTATTAACGGCACTACAAAATCCACAATTAAAATCAAAAACTAACTATATTATATAAAAAATAAGAGAGTTGTTTCACCTGCTGTCTCAAAACCAGCAAATAGTTCTAATCTGGACACCAGCCCACATTGGTGTGCATGGTAATGAGCAAGCAGACTATTTAGCTAAATTTATTACAAATCCGGCCCACAATCAATTAAGTCATAGCTTTTTAAATTTCGCAATTCCTTCTTCAGACGCTCTATCTCTTTTCAAACTCACGTAACAGGAAGAATTTTACAACTTGTGGCATCAGGTGGTAAAGGTAACAGGAAACTGGTTAGATACAGTAAATAAAAAGCTCTCTTCCCCGTGGTTTACCCGGGGTAGCGACTGTAGCCATAGAAAGTATTATACCACAATCTGTCGTTGGCGTCTAGGACATTGCAGTTTTGGTGCTCACCTTTTTAGGATTGTTGTTTTTAACTCTTCAACTTGTAGATATTCCAATAGAGCTGATGAAACCCTCGAACATATATTTTTTGACTGTCCACAGTTTAGTATTCAAAGGATGGTCCTTGTAGACCAACTTTTAAATATTTTTAGAACTGCTGAAGATATCCCGATTACCGCGCTCTATGCGATGCGAATTATGCGCGACCAATTGACATTGACAAATGAATTGTACTATAATTTATAAATGACATTACAACTTACAAAGACTTGACATTGATAAAAGACGGAATGTAAAAAACCAAGATATGTACAAAAAAAAATATTTTAAATAAAGACATGGCTTCGGCCTTATAATTAAAAAAATATTTAAGAAGTAATTTAGTAATTTTGAAGTTGAAGTAATTTTGACACCTCTTTCTACGACGGTTATAACGAAACTAAATTTACTCTGTATCAGAGTCTGTGGTTGAAAAATAATATTATGTGTGAATTGTGATGGATTGAAAACCCGTTCATAACAGCAATTCCATTTTTTATCTTCAAAATTAAAAAAAAGAAATTAAAATTTAAGATACACTCGTAAAAAATATAATTTTGTTAAATATAGCTATTTGTTATGAATTGTATTATTTTAAATTGTTTTTTAATATTAACAACGAAAAAATAAATTTCAAGTTGATTTTATATTTTCAATAACTATTTGACATCAATTACAGGACTGTTCTCTCAAAAGAGCCACCATAAGTTGTCTCGTTAGATGGCACTGGGGTCTTGCACACGGCGAATAGCAGAATAACTTTTCAGTTATGACTATTTATTTTTAAATGTAGAAAATAACTTTTGAAATCAACAGTATACTATAAAATAATCTTATGAGGGTGGATGGTCAATTAACTGTATTCAATTAATATTTTCTGCTTTTCATTTTCATATATTCCACATATTTATAACTCCAAGGAAATTATTGCAAAATAATTTCATGTAACTAGTTAAATTAAAAAAATTGCTTGTGAAATGCACCACTTCAAAAAAAAGATATAATTTCACATAACTTTGTGTATTACTGAGTTGTGCACACGAAATCATTTTAAACATTATGAAACGAGTGAAATAAAAATACTTATTGAGATGATTATTTATTCAACTTAAAAGTTTCAGTAATACAGGTTTATGAATCTATAATAGGTAATATATTTTTTGAAATTTTCTGTTATTTATAAGAAAAATGAAACACAAACAAAAAGGAATGTATGTTGATTCAATCGCCCTCTATTGGACAATGACAAAGTCATTTCGTATTGAAGTTTCATACAAAGTTCATAAATTAATTGATAGATGGCTGGTTTATTAACAATATCCAAAAGTATTAACAACCTGGTATGAAGTATTTACTACAAACATATATATGTGATTTCAAGATTTAGAGTTAGCTTAATAAAATCGTAAGTGACAGAAAAAACAAAGCACTCGCCCTTAGTCCATTTGACGGAATCTTATTTGATCTTTTATAATTTGATCTTTTTTTATGTATATTCCTTAACAATATGAATCTCAAGAATAAAAATCTTTACAGTATAACATAGTCCGCGTCAAGGCAATGATTTCTCTTTCCGAGTCCATTATAACACGAGTGATCTAAGGGTATTATTTTATTATGTAGGTAAATTTACAACGAATGGCCACCTTATTTATTCTCTTTTAACAGTAAGTATCATCGATACTTATAATAAAGATTTATTGGACAGGTCAATTCTGTACATGAAATTTATTTTCAAAATACGAGTATGTAACTATCACGGAGTGATGAGGGATCGATGCTGATGCCAAAATTGCAATCACAAAATTTTTTGTTTGTCTGTCTGTATATTTATTTAATAGAAACAAAAACTACTCGACAGATGTTAACCAGAATTGGTACGTTTATTCTTCATACTCCTTGTCAGGTTATAGTATACTTTTTATCAGGCTACAATCAATAGGATTAGAGCAGTGAAGGGAAATGTCTTAAAAAGGGAGAAATTACTTCATTTTTTAAGCTTCCGTCGCGTGTGCAACCCTAATAGTTATGTAAATCTACATAGAAATCATGTATGACGGAAATATTTTACGTAAAATTATATTAAAAATATCCCAGAACAGCATATGTCTATCTTTCATGGTTGACTCACAATAACACAAGTAACTTCCGATAGCTTAGCAGTTCGGAGCTCTCTGTTTATATTTGTTTACTCTTACGTTTATAATATTCTTACTCATCCCTAATTAAAAAAAATAACATTATTACCTATGCAAAAAAGAATCATAGAAATCGGTATAGAAACTTGAAATAGGCTAATAAGCCATCGCGCGTGAATACTGAAATTATGCTATAAGGATTATTTTTGCGTAACGGTTGCCGCGCTCAACGCGTCTCGCGGCAGTAAGGTATAAAGCTTCATTTCCCCTGCCGATGACGCTGTCAAAGCCATAAGGGCTAACAGCCACTGTCAATTCGAAACCGGTGACGCTGTCAAAGTCTTTAAAGCTAACAGCTACATACAGTCAAATCGAAACAAAACAGAAAGCTTCATTCAATATTTCATTCGTTCATGCTTTCAAAGTGTTTGACTTTAATATTGACTGACAATAATTAATATTATAAACCGTTTTTATCAGCGCGACTTTTAGTAGTTAAATAGTTTATTTTGATTTCTTTTGTTGTTATTTTATAAAATAGGTATTAGTTGTTTCGATAGTGTTAGTAATGTTTACGAAGATTGAACGAGAGAATTTCAATAAAATTAAATTTGTCTCGAGGACACTTATGTTTTTATTAACGACGCGTAATAAATCTTTCATCCAATTCGATAAATTTTGTACCTAAAATTAATGACGATAGTATATTTAGCTATAAATGATAAATTATTTTTTTTTGTATTTTCTAGTACAATAAAGAGAATAAGGTAATAATAGAATACTTTTCATACCTCCACCATGAGATGGTGGCCTTGATAACAATATAGAAACACCTGAAAAATGTTTAAGAGATACATACACCTTGGTAAGAGTCTCATTATCCTATATGCTGAAATAAAATAAAAAAAATACTGTTGACAAAAATATTTAAAATATACACACTCTTCAATTCAATCTTGACCTAGTAAACTAGTCTTTTTATATTATATTTAAATGGTTTTAGGAATAAAAACCACATACAAACAATTTAACATATGTATGTACCTACATAGAAAAAAAGGAGATTTAAGTCGACAGGGAAATATATCTGTTCGGGGAAGATAAAAGATCCCCGTTGAATATCACAAAGATTTGACTGCCATTCAGAGAGGTTAAACTAGTTAGTAACTAGGAGGGAGTAGGAAATAGAAAAACAATTAGTCCATAAAAAAAACTTACCAGTGTTTTTCCCAATCGTTTAATGACGAACTTTTAACTTTTTTAACTAACTTAATTTAATTCAGTTTATAAAGTAATTGGATCATGAATACATGCAGACTCGTTAGAAACTTAGTTGTGACTGAAAAGATGCGAGATGGTAGTCGAAGGAAGTGTATGTGGATACGTATTAGACTTATTTGGTCGAACATTTTTTGTTAATCTTTGCTTAATTTAATGACGAATTTTCGTGGCAAATTTTTAAAGAGTTAAATAACAATGTTAAGTGTTTCCATTTATAAAAAAAAGTAATAAATATTCAATTTAAATGCATGTTATCTCAAAAATTATTAATACAACTAAAATTTAGTAACACACTCTAAAATTTTGTTACACTAGTACACATGATTATAAAAATTATTACTGGAGTTGAATGATTTTTGAGACTTAATTTTTATTATACATAATTATAGTAAAAATAATGTCTCAAAAATCATTCAGCTCTCTCAATCATATGTATAAATAACGTTGTATGTTGTTATTGACCGTTAGACTTAAGCGGGGCTTTGCATTTGTGTGAGTAATAGTAAAAGTAGAGTTCGACATAAAACTTTTAGAATTACATTTTAAAATATAATTTTAAATAGATAAATATTAGATACATAACATAAGTGCGAGAGCTATTCTAGATTTAAAATAATATAAGCAAAACTTGTAAAAGGCCAGATGTAAATATTATGAATATTATGGAAAAAAAATAATTTACTAATATATTTTTTTAAAAACTATACAATTCTTCTTCACTTGACTTGACAAGGTGCGGGGGGGAGTAAAAGCAGTAAAAACCGGTTCAAACATAGAAAAGAATGTTATATTTAAAAATTTCACATCACACCTACACTATCCGTGTGCACTCACACAAATGCAAAGCTCAGGTTAAATCAAACGCACTATACGTTATTTGATTAAAGAGGCTTTTAGATATATTGGTAAAAAAACAGGTATTTTTATATAACATTATATGGAAGTTTTAGTCCAAAAATGGAATTACATGGATAGTGCATATATGTATGTATATAAAACATAATTGTCGTAAAAACAATTAGCCAAAAAACTATTCACAATATGTAAGGCAGATCCTGGCTAAAGCTGGGAAATTGCCAGGTAGAAGGAGATATGGTAGTCTAGATTTCAACCCTTGTTATTGGTTAGAACTGATATGAAAACAATAATTATTGAATTACATTGCAAGATTACAAATTTATTTGATTTCCGTCTTTTAGTATGTGAAAAACAGTACATTGAGTTTTTTACTGTTTTATTTAAAAAGGAAGTTTATTTTAGCTGCTAGTTTAAACTTCGTATTGAACAATCTACAAAATTATAAAAAATAAAAGGAATGAAAATTCAATAATTTAAATGACAACTTTTACACAATACACTTCACAACTTCTTATTAATCCTAAGTTGACGACTATGAAGATTACGATTAAATTTAGAGTTTAATTCCTTTTTATATTTACTAATAGAACAAAGTTAACTTGACTCATTTTTTACTGATTTTAACTAGAAAATATGTCTCTCAATCTCCATTTTTTGAATCAAGCTTCTTACTGATATTCCTTTTTAACCTCCCCTTTTGTGTTTTGTGAATGATGTATTCATCTCTCCAAGATCTCTGTGTACACTAGTAAGATTCGATATTGGACGGTGAGATTGGCGATAACCTAAGCAAGTGTCACTTCTGCTGGCAGTGGGATGTGTATTACAAGTTCGTAAACTTCCTGGAGCAGTAATATTATCTGAACGAATACAGCAACGGAAGCATTTGCAGTATGACCTGTAAAATTGGTGTCGATATTTTCCTGTAAAGAAATAAAGACTGATCAATTATTCATAAAATTGTTATGATGGTACGCTAGTAATTAATGTAAATTTTTAAGTGGGTAAGAGAGTTCTGATTTATGTTTTTTGGAGAGGCCTAGGCATACACCGATTTCGAGTATCTTTTGGTGGATCATCGATGTTGAGCATAAATTTTTTTTTGCACAAAAATAAAATATTTTCTATAACTAAATGATGATTAACATCGGATAGTCGTTTGTTTAAAAGAAATTTGTATGGTTCATTTGGAATCTTTTTAATCCAAAAAATTGCGAAAATAAACCCCGAAATGTATTGAAACGTCGGGTCGGCCCTAAGCACTTTTATTTTAACACCACTATTACTATAATACAGTATAACACAGTCCGTATTGTATGTAAGGATGATGTTGTACCTACTAATTTCTGAAAATGAAGGAAACGTACAAAATGATTTCAATCAATGCATAGGAGTTTTGGAAGGTAACGGCCTAAATCAAAGTAAGAAATACGGAACATATGTCCTGTATTTTTGATAGTGTCTCAAACTGAGAATACATCAAAATGTACATAGAGAACACCTCGCTTTCTCAGGTTGATAATTTTATTATATAAATGAAATCAGATAAATTGAGACACTCACCACACATGAAATTATAGATGAAAGGATTCACTGCTGCGTTGACGTAGCACATGACGTGAGATATCAGTGCTACGGCGGTCATCATGTCACTGTGTTGTATATTGTAGGCAAATCTGTTCATGTTAGAAATGAATGTTACGTAATATGTTATGATAATTAATTTGTATTACTATAGAAGAGAAAATATATACCTCAGAACACATAAAAGGTGAACCGGGAAGAAGCACATTGCGAACATGATAACAACAGTTATCAGCATCTTGGCTGCCTCCCGGTGAGAGCGTAGTTGTCTATTGGTAGATGCGTTGGCATGAATTAACGCAATCCTCTGTCTTCTGTTTGCAAACCCTGGGTGAGTATAATATTAACTTGTAACAATTGACAAGAATTATTTTTTCTTTTCTTTTTCTCCGAATAATTTAACATTGATTGATAACGTAAGTAGTTTATTACGCAGACATGTTTTTTGTGTACGTTTGAATTTGAAAATAAATAGTTTTTAATTTCACGACGTCATAAAGTATGAAAGTGTGCAAGAACTTCTTTGATATTATTTAGAAAAATACAAAGTAAGTTTATGCAAAATATATGTTAATTATTTTTTTCAACTGTAAAAGAACTTTATTGTGTTAGACTTAATGTGATTATTATTCTCCTTAGCTAGTTGCACAAGTAGGACACTCAATTTGTGTATCTAAGTTCATCCGCAACATATATTTGTTGCGATTGCGTTGGATGCGTTGCCACCATTTTTCGGGGAAGAGGGAGAAGAAAGGGTGGGAAAAGGAAAAGGGCAAGGCAAGGGCTTTTACTCTTTGGACGAAACGTAGCCATCAAAGACTACTTCAAGCCTTTTTTAATCAGTTGTTTATTTAAATTCTATCATAAATGACAAAGTTGAAGCGAGATGATGGCAGTGTAGTGTCGACAAAAGCGGAAGTCTTAGGGGAAATTGAGAACTTCTATGGATGACTTTACGATTCTGTGACAAAGCCTGTGTCTGATGTGGTCACAGACCCGAGAGCCAAACTGACCCGAGACTACACCGAGGATATCTCAGTCATCAGCCTGTCTGAGATTCAGACGGCCCTACGACAGTTAGAGAACAACAAGGCACCTGGTGAGGACGAAATTACTTCGGAGCTTCTGAAAGCGTTTGGATTACCGGTACTTAAAGTCCTTCAGAAGCTCTTCAATTCTGTATTGTTCGAAGGTAGTTCGCCTGAAGCGTGGAACATGAACGTGGTGGTGTTGTTCTTCAAGAAAGATGATAACACCTTATTGAAGAACTACAGACCCATCTCGCTCTTGAGCCACGTTTACAAGCTGTTTTATAGGGTCATTGCAAATTGTCGCACGAACGCAAGTTTGATGACTTCCAGCCTCCCGAATCAGAAATTTATAAACTGCCTGTAGATTTAAATAAATCTGCATAGTTTTCCGTTAAAGCCATCTCGGTAATGCCAGTACTTAAATAACATATGTGAAAGTAATAAAAACTTACCATTTGTTTGTACATTTGCTCGTAACTGGTGTAACTCTATTTGTCCTGAAATGTTATCTGATCTCCATAGGACCCTTACAATCTGCCAGTATGCTACCATCATCAACATAAGTGGTAGTCTGTAGAGGAATTATATTCCACTCAATATATATACCTATATACATAAAAGCTACAAAAGTCATGAAATATTTAGAATTATCTGTAACTAATGCCTTTAAGAATGCTATATTTGCATAACAGTCTAAACCCTAGAGGACAAATATGATTTCAATTTGTCATATTTAAAATTTTAACTTCTAACAACTTGTGTTTACGTTGAAAATCCAAAAAATAAATAAATGGTATGGTCACGAAATAGATAAAACATGCTTAACTGGCGGTAATATGTGATTTATTTTAAAATTAACTTCATGATATTGTTGGTTTAAGAGGACACTAATTATACTTCAGGATATGTTATATTCAAATTTCATAATGCTCCAGAACAACAAAAGACATCTTAAAGTAAGTAGTCTAGTCAACATTTTCAAAAACTATTACTGTAATAATAATGATAATTATTATTTTTTCCAAGTTATTAACGAAAAACTAAATACCGTTTTTTTATCTTATTTTTTTAATAATAATCGAAATTTTTTATGTCCTAATATACCACTAAAAAACATTTTTTCAGACGTCATTCCGAATCGAATGGGCTACCGCGAATATTTTTAAGAGCTTTATTTCTATTTAACACGTTTTTAAACATGTTGGCTAGACTAAAAAGGGTTATTTTACTTTTAAAATGTAAGTTATAAAGTTTTAATATGCCTCCAGACTAAACAGTTCTAAAATTTTAGAAAGGTTTGGCTCTCCACACTTTTTTGTTCATTACTAAAGAAGAAATGTGTACGTTACAAATTATTACCAAATATCAATTGATTAATTATCGTTTGCCTATATTGATTTGATTGCACTTTTATAATTAATCGTATATTAACGTAATCGTATATTAATTAATTTTAGTTTACGTGTAAAGGAAAAGCGCCCTTATTAATTGCCATGTTAGTTCACCCTCTTCTGACCACCCGTAGGTGCACTGCATGAAATACTGCTGGTGGAAACGAAGCTCAATGTTTGTTTGTACCTCCAAGATGACAAATTCTGGTATATCTACGAATTACAATGACGTAATTAGTAAATATTTCTGATTTCCATTAATCTAGTGATAACTTTGTTTATATTATATTATAACCCCTACGTATTAACTGTGCACTTCTCTGGAATGCGACCCCTCTCCCGCTAGCCCTCGCGGCGCCCCGCATTCGCCGTAAGCGCTCAGTAGCGATAGCATCTTTGTTACATTTAGTTATTATTAAATACAAAAATTATCTTAAACTGTAATATCATATCGGTCCATATGTATCTATTTAATTGGAAAACTTCGTGAGTAAAATGACCTAGTATTATGACGCCTTATCATAAAAAATACCTTTTATCAACATCAAAAAAATTATAATTTATATATTTTTCATATAATTTATATACCTATGTTTTATATAAATCTCAGTTTTTTTGCAAGCGGTATCGTTCTAATGACGTCACAGAGCGAGGTGCACTGTTAATACGTAGGGATTATAGATTATATGTAGTTAGGTTGGAGGAATTTCGGTACACGATATTTTGAATAAAATATTATAGGATGGTAAATATCACTCAGTAAGGAAGAGTTACGAGTACGTACTAGTTATGTGTACGTACACATACTCCATAACGATACGCTGATGTAGAATTCCCTTGAAGTGAACAACAAGGTGCATTTACAGCGAATTATACCCTTTAGTTTAAAATTATATGTATAACATAATCTTGATTTTATAATATTAATTTCATCTAATAGCTACAGTACAGTATTAATTATATGTAAGTCTTAATTGTAATTTAATCATAAGTTGATTAAGATTAGTTTTAAAGCTGTCTTTAATTTATTTTTCGACTTTCCGGCTGTAGTAAAAATAATTGAAGTAAAACAATTGTCAATTATATATATAATAAGAAAACAAACGAGGGTTATGATGTAATTGACAATTAAACAAAAAACACGGGAATTTGAATTATGTATTAATAGAAATTTTATTAAAACTATATTTTTTAATCTTATATAAATCAAATATATTATTGAATTTTTGAAGATTTATTTTTACATAAATAGAAATAAAAATTTGAACTAGCTATTTATGAGAAAATAATTGTATTATTGATGTATTGACTATAGTTACAAGTTTTCTTTATTTTAATAAAGATGAATATGTCTTAGTCGCCCTGATGGGACGGTCGAAACTGAAGAAACAAAACATATTAAAACATCACTCAGTTTAACCTTAGAACCAGTACCCTATTGACGTTTTTAATTCCATGAGTGATATTTTCAGATAATTATATTCGTATATTATTAATAATTACTTACTGAATATTACTGACACCAGCCATATAATAAGTATTGCAGTTTTTGCTCGGCTGGTAGTTGATTTGAATTTTAGAGGATAACAGATGGTGCACCAACGGTCCAAGGATATGAAGGTAAGTGTGAGCACTGACACGGTATCTGAAACGGACTGCAACAAACATGACTATGAACATCAATTTAAATACTATAACTGCAATAAAAATAAGTTTTATTATAAGTATAATGTAATATGTATCTTAACTGGGCCTTTTAAAAGTAACGATTTAAAAAAAAAACACAGAAAAACATGCAATTTAGACGAATTGAAGATACTATAAATAATGGCTGACTTTTCTTAGACATTATATCCTTATGCCACAGTGTTTACTTACTATTTTGAAAAATAATGCAGATCGGTATTTCTGTTCTAAAATACAGTTTTTTTTTTTAATTAATGGTCAGTTTGTAATATTTTAATTATTTCTGTTTATAACTTAAAATGTTGCGTACTATTTGACCCAGCTTTCTTTTAGATTAATTAAAGGTTTTTACTACAAATAATTAAAATTCAACCAACACATATTTTTTCTCTGACAAACAATAATTTATATTTTTCTGAAACTCCAAGTTATAAGTACAATACAATGCATTAATTTTGACCATGAGAGTTATAGTATTGCTAAGCTAATCATCTCCAACTCAGCATGAACTCATTTCCTGGCAAAGAAGTAAAACGATATTCTTGATTTAAATATTTTTGTATTTTTTATATGAATACTGCATGTTTCTATTACATGCATAGTAGGTACGTGACACTGTAATCTTGGACTGTAAATACTGGCCGTGTTCAAAAGTATCCTATTCCCTGTTTTATAGTTTCGTAGACCTGGAGCACTTGTTCTATGAAAATTAATTTCCAAGAATACGATTGTGTACTTCTAAACCTCTATATTGATTTTTGTACTTTTAGTCGAATTATTTCTTTTATTATATTTTCCCTTTAAGTTACTATTAACATTTTTCCAAATTTATAGCGGGTATAAGTAAACAATATTTCAATATATGTAATTACACACTAACTTACTTTCACCGTTTATGTCATACTGGTAAATACTTCTATGTATATTCTGCAATACGTCACGTTATTTACAATACACTGATTACATAGAATTTAGCAGCGGCGAGCACACCATAGGTGAAAATGTGCACTGCTTAACGTATCCATACAATCACTAAAGTTACATTGTTTAATTCTTTCATTACAATCAATTTTATACATTACTAGTCAACCCGTCGAACTCTGTTTCGCCACCAGATGGCTTCGTTTTATGTAACCTTTCATTTGGTGATTAAGAGATGAAGAAAAGTTTTTTTATCCAAAGTAAATAAAACTGAATCGTTATACGTTTTTGCAAATTATTCGTTTAATTGAAGTGATCTTTGTTGAACCACATTTTTGTATTTTGGTCTGACGTTAACACAAATAAAGCGGATGGTTTCCCAACTCGTAAACACGCATGAGGCAACGTATAACTACCAGCTATGTAAAAACAATGATTTTCTAAATTTATCCCGCAAACACTAAAAGGTTTTTAAGAGTTTAAACTACAAACACAATACCGGTTTGTCACATGAAATGAAACTGAGCAAAATATTGGTTTGTAGTACATGCTGTGTCAGAGATGACTCTGCATTTGAAAAAAGATTTTCCCGCTTCTTTGTTGAAATTTTTCCTGAATTTTCTTTGCTATAGACTTCACGGAGTCCGAAACCTTTCCAACGAAGGCAACACCGCGGAAATCGGTCCGTGCGTTTTGGAGTTATAGCGTCAAGAAGGAAAACCCGACTTATTTTTATATATGTACATTATATAAATAATAGTTTAAAAAACTATAAAACACGCTTTTATAGCAAACCGAACTAGAAACTTAAAAATAATTTTTAATAACAAAGAGTTTATACTCGTATTAGTTTAGGGATAAGGCGTGGGATGCTTGACATATTAAAGGTTATACAATCATTCTATTGGCAACAATCTATGAGTGGAGAGTTATGGAAATGTAGTTAAATGCACCCACGCTTATCACTCTGAATTTAACAATTCTATTTGTAACTTAAATTTTATTATAATTTTATTTTGAAGTAATTAACTATGATTGATTGTTTAACCTTTTGCTGCGGTAATATAAACTGTATAAATATACGGTTACTGTGCCATGTTTATTATCCGATGGATAAGCATTAGGAAGAGAGCAGCTAGAGCCAGGAGAACTGGAAAAACTGCATTTACATTACATTTGAGTTCGATAACTTAAGTATACCAGGGAACCTACCTTGTACTGGACTCCGGATCGAGCCTTGCGCTACAGAATTTGATACTTTAAGTAAAGGCAAGATCGAGTGACGAATGCTTCCCTCAATTTTATTTGGGGCAGTGGCGGTACATAAATTACAGGACATAACTTTAGATCAAGTAGATGTAGATTTAAGGAGAAAATTATTTGCAAAAGGTCAAGCTTACGTTGCTTTGAGCAGAGGGAAGACTCTCTCCGGACTTGCTATTAGCTCTGTCAATACTAAAAAATTGCTACATCAACCACATGACAAAAACTTATTTAGGGAATTAATCCTGTTATTTAATCTTACTTTACTGAAAAGACATAAATAAAATAATAATTAAAAAGAAACAAAAACCCGCCTGCATGGATAGTTACAATCAAAATACGAATGAAAATTATATGTCTTACTCTAAAGTTCTATTTATAAAGGGTGTTTTTTCTAGAGGTATAGAACTTTGAAATAAAATAAAACAAAAATGATTTTTATTATTGATATGAAATATAATATTTTGGAAAGATAATATTCTGTCATTATTATTTAAATAAGATTTCAGGCATATGACCTCCATGACTGGCTCGGACGTAGTTTAAACTGGCGGTCCAATTTTCAACGACTTTTTCCAACATTAGTGGCTGTATATCGGCAATAACGTGACGAATTTTATCCTCCAAGTGATCAACGGTTTCGGGCTTATCAGCGTAGACTAACGACTTTACATATCCCCACAGAAAATAATCAAGCTGCGTTAAATCACCGCTAAACAAAATTCGCTTATGAAAATTGGGATCAACGGCAATCTTATTTTGTGAATGGGCACAGAATCTACGTCTTGTTAGGTGATCGCGAGGCTTCAATTCTTGCACGAGTTGGATTTTGTAAACACGCAAAGCAAGATCTTTCCGCAAAATCTTCCTTAAGGTTGATGGACACAGATTCAATTCCTGTGCACGATGGCGGAAAGACTGATTCGGGTCTTCTTCTACTCTACGCTCTACATCAGAAATAACTTCTTCTGTACGCACTGTACGATATCACTGTGGATGCGTATTATCATTTAGAGGAAATGTAGTGCGAAAACGTTCCATTTTTAATCGAATTAATTTTTCTGATGGACGATTATGTGGACCGTAAAATGGACGTAGGGCGCGATACGTTTTTCGAAACAGAGCCATGATTTTCAAAATAAATTTGGACAATTTGGAGGCGTTGTTCAGGCGTTAGTCTATTCATGATAAATTGCCAAACCAAATTAAATACAAATCACATGACAGCTGTCAAAATAACTGCCAGTTAAGAAAGTATTGGCAATTTAAAGTTGTATATCTCTAAAAAAAACACCCTATACATATTTATACCAAAGATTATTAAATTCCGTTCAGCGATTTTAACGTGAAAATACTACAAATAGATAAAGAGAGACCTTCCGCATTTGTAACATTAGTAGGGATTAATTCCTTTAATATTTTTCATAATCAAAATGTTCCTTTCATTAGCCTTATCTCTGTGTCATAAAATTATTTAATGCCTTAAATGAGTTTTACCCATTGTCTCAATAATAAGTATGAAAT